ACTTTGTTCATATTGCACCAGTAAATAAACGAAGGGTTGTCAGTGAAACTGATACATTGGTGAAAAACTGTGCAGACAATCTAAGTATAGATCAGCAACGAAAGCTTTGGATGTTACCAGAGATATAATCAACCTTAAGATCGATCAAATTCTGAATAATTTAAACCAGGTAATGCTTATCCTTTACCATTAGTGATCTTCCGAAAGAAGAGTTGTACACAGAGGAACTTTGTGGACTTCAGATGGATTGCCTGCACAGTTAAATGTCTCATTGTGTTGGAAGTCTCCTTCTGGTTTAGCTATTTTACTTCTGGCTGCTGGAAAGTAGAGCTAGACAACGACAGTAGAGCTAAGAATAGTTTTAACCTATGAGAAGGTTGTGTGTGTTTTTCATCAGTCTTTAGCTTTTGCGATGCACCAGTTATTTTTGTAATTTGCATTGCCTGATTTGCTGTGGGAAGTGTATAATTCAATTCCACAATATTATAGTGTTTGGTCATACGATTCATGCTGCAGTAAAAATTCTAAGCATACTATTGTAATATTAGTTAAAAGCAAGCCTGAAATTGAAGGAAAAAATATTTTATTGTGTAGTTGCTCATAGAATACCTAGGGCGTATAATGGGTAGATCTATTGATCCTGTGTAAAATTTAAGTATTGGCAGAATAGACTCAAAGTACATTTCAGAATGAAGTGCAAAACTTTGTCAGTTTTGCAATCTGTTGTATCTTCTTTCTGGTTAATGTTTCAACAATAACATCACAACTGATGTGAATATTATTTTATCTGGACTGACGACTGTTTAAGCTAATTTTAGTCACTAAGATGTATCTTGTTTGATGCTATGGTGTTAGGTTGTACAAGAAGTGATATTCCATTATCTTGGATACTAATATCAGTAATAATGGAATTGGTGCAATGTTGTCACAAGCACAAAACACGTAATAGCATATGCAAGGCACACGTCCCTCACATGCCATTACTTATAACGAAGAAACAATTGCTTGCAAATATTGCAGTTTGTGTAGATCATGCATCAGTGAAATGATCGAAGAACCTCAGAGAACCAGAAGGTATGGCTGCACGTTGTGCAAAACCCAATAGGCCAACATAAACTTTAATAATCATACCAACAAATATTGCCAAGGAGAAATTTCATTCTGATATTACATATAAATCATCAAAATTTTGAAGATATCTGTATATGGTAACATAGTCAAATATCTTCAGTGAAGATCAAATGTGCAGACTTTTAAGCCATAAGTCTGCATGTGGAAATATCCATTTTACCTATACAATGAAGGTGGCTGTGGATAAAAACCTCAGTAAATGATATCCATGTCTTCCATTATTACACCGTGTATTAGCTGTGATTTTCGAATAGAATGAAGGTAAAAGTGACGGCATATTTTCACTACTTTATGCCTTTCAAAATGTCTAATGCGTTGATTTGTTTACATTTATTTTTTGATAGTAGAGTTGAATTTATACACCTATAGATGATAACATAGTGTCATGAATAGCCATAATTTTAAATCTGGTAATGAGAATGCTTAATAATGCACTTGTTCTCCTACTCTGTTTAAACCTCCTACTAATTAAAATCTATGTATCAGTATGTTTTAAACATACAAACACATACATGCATACTCATGGAATTTTATCATTTGAAGTAAATGAGTCGATTTGAACACCTAATTTTGAGAAAATAAGAACATAGTTGTAAAGAAAATGTTGCTGAAAGAAAGTTTATTTTGTTTCATTTTAAATGGAAGTTAAGACTTTGCTATTTTTACTGCTGTGACATTTGTAGAGCGTAAACTGCTCATTAAAGTTGTGACTTTTTTGTTAGTCACAATGCCTAGTGGAAAACAAAACAAAAACAGTGTATGTGAAGTAGTGTTATTTTTCCATTTTAATGAAAACTTGGTGATTTATACGTGTGATTAAACTCACATTTAACTAAGTTTAACTCTGCCGTTTTTGCAACACAGCTCATCCTCTTGTGATTCAGGTCCTTCTTGAATTTCTATATCAACCATTTTTGGTTCGGGACACATTTGTAAACATTGATGGCCAGTCTCGACAGAGTAAATTGCTTTAGTACAAGAAAAACAAAAACAAATAGGTCGATTACTGATATTATTAACCAACGGTATGGTAAACCTGTCTTTATTCAGTTCAGAAATGCCAAAAAATTACATTCAAAATATTGTAAAACTAAATTACATATATATTTTTGAATACATCTAAACGTTTGGAAATATTTCCTCGGTTTTTGAATTTGAAGTTTCTGTTACTCTAGACAGTATCAAACGCTTAAAAGGAACTGTTAAATTCTGAACTTAGATAAAATAATAATTCATTCAAGTTTTTAACTCGACAATTTATAGAAGCATTGAAATTATTGAAGAACCAACTAAGTTGGTTATGTATATATATATTTTACATTTCAAACATTTTACATTTTATTGAACCACAAAATAACAAATGTTTATACAATCTCAGAAAAAAATTGGTTAAGTTGACTAATTCATAGCGACAGTTGGGTAAAATTTTTTAATTATTCAAAGTATGTTCTGAATGATATCGAAAAGAAAGTTTTAGCTCATGGTTTAAACTTTAGTATGCCGGATAGGTTAATGTTTAAGAAGATCATTTTGTACAATTCGAACAGTTTTTACAATTATTGTCACACAAACCTACTTGGTCCAACTCTGGTCAATCTTTTAGTAATATTAGAACACAGATTAATGGTATACCTTTGAATTCTTTTAATGATTGGCCCGGCATGGCCAGGTGGTTAGGGCACTGGACTCGCAATCTGCCGGTCGCGGGTTCGAATCCCCGTCACACCAAACATGCTCGCCCTTTCAACCGTGGGGGCGTTATAATGTGACGGTCAATCCCACTATTCGTTGGTAAAAGAGTAGCCCAAGAGTTGGCGGTGGGTGGTGATGACTAGCTGCCTTCCCTCTAGTCTTACACTGCTAAATTAGGGACGGCTAGCGCAGATAGCCGTCGTGTAGCTTTGCGCGAAATTCAAAAAGAAACAAACTTCTAATTATTATAAATGTGAATTTAAAATATTTATAATAATGTAGGTTCAAAGGAATTAATAATGGGGAATGTAAATAAAAATTATAGTATTATTATTATTATTTATAAATCTGATAGAGGAAATAATATTGTAATTTTGGATAAAGATAAATACTGAATATTTTAAATTATTCAAATAATTTTGTAAAGTTACACCATTAAACTATTGTTATAAGATAAACCAAGCTATAAAGGTACCTATTAAACCTGAAGAATAACAACATTCTAAATGAAAAAAGAAATTTGAAAATTAGACCACCAGATAGTCATCCAGAAGATTTCTAATGGTCTTTCTACGATCCATTTAGAAGGATGTCCATTACGACCTATAGTTTCTAACACTGGAACGTACAACCATGCTTTAACTGGTTTCATGGTTAAAATTTTGAAGACTTTTACAACCAATGAACACATGTTGAAAGACAGCTTTGAATTCTCTAGTGAAATACAATATATGATGTTTGATAACAATGTATGTTGTACCATCTTTGATGGTGAGTCGCTATATATAAATACACCATTAGAAGAAACCATACAGTTGAGTACTGATTTGATTTTTTAACAACTCTGAGAATCTGACTATTCTAAAATCAGTATTTTTGAAATTGATGAACTTTGTCACAAAGGAGTCATATTTTTTTAATTGACAACAACCATTATAACCTGATTAACGATGTTGCTATGGGTTCTAGATTGGCGCCTTCTTTGACCAGTTTTTTTTCTGTGCTATCATGGAAAACAATGGGTGGAAGACTGTCTGCAATCTTTCAAACTGTTTTACTTCCGTAGATATGTGAACGATATATTTACCATCTTTAGAAATTCTGGTCAAATTTCTCAATTTCTTGAGTACTTGAACAGCATGATGTTGTTCAACATCGTAAATCCATTTCTGGACATACTGATTCATAACGATAATGGCCACTTCAAATGTAAAGTACACCATAAAGAAACATCGTCTATAGAGAGAATGTGTTTTGTTGCTTTTACATCAGATCCTTTTCTAGCCTCTAGGAGAGAAGATTCGTTTTGAACTTGAAACCCTCACGACTTTCTGGTAAAGTTAACATTTTAATAGTGACTTCTGCTGTAATTATTTTTCATAAAATGCAATTTGTTTCTTTATTTACTTTTACAATCATTTGAAATTCTTCTTTGCAAATTCCTGCAACTTCGACGATCAGCTATGTTCTTTATTTTAGTTTCTCAGGCATAATAAAGTGTTTTATTTTTTAACTTAGACAACTTATTTTGTCTTTCTTTGAAAAGCCACTGCTCTTGTCCTTTCACGAACTAAATCCCCGAACCGCTGTTTATCTATAGAAATCAGATAAATGAGAGGTAAATTTAACCAGTTAGATTACCACATAAGTAATGACAATTGTACTATGTAATGAAAATCATCCAGCTTAATTTTGTTAAATTAAACACCTCAGTACGTTTATTTCATCACTGACTTAGTTAACCGAAGCGATTTTCGACGATACTGATATTTATGGTACAAAAACAAAGCTATTCTGAAGTGTTTGGGCTAACGGTCTTTGTAATGTGTCATGTGTATTTCTTAAATAATATAAAAGTATCAGAAGTAAATACTACAACAACTTTATTTAAATGCTATAAACAAATTACAAAATAAGTAGCATAAACAATTGCACTGTTTTTGAAGTTAACTGCTGCTAAATACATTAGTCAGTATTAACGAACAAGAAAAAAGAAGAGAAGGAAACGTCAGAAATGGGAAACATTAAACAAACAAATCTCATATACAGGAATACATATACAAGAGCATCATTAAGCATTGAAATATGCTACTATAAGCATGTACTACGAAGAAAAGCATTTCACATATTTACATAAATCGTGCTGTGCTTGAGAAAGGATTTTCCAAGTTGGACATTTAATGATAGACAGGTATAGAGGTTTTCACAACAGAAACAGGATTGTAAGAGTATGCAGGGGCTACCACTTTCTTTACCACTGGGGCAGCAGGGGCATATCCATAGGGATGAGAGGCTATATGGGGACCTATATAAGCCTTCTGGACAACATGGGCAGGAGGTTCATTTGAATAAACTCCAACATCAGCCGGGCTCTGGTTGGCTGTACCTGGCTCATTTGTCTTCACATTGGCACGGAAACCGTATTGGTCAGCCACGTACTCGACGATACGGGAAACACCGTAAGGATCCACATAGCTATACGAGCCCTTTTTGTTCCCATATCCATCATCTTCTTCGTGTCGTTGTTGTGCGCCCCCGTCATTACCCTGTACGTCATAGCCAAAGCCGTAGGGGATTGGCTGGTCATACTGTAGAGAAGCATATATGTCTGAATGAACATATACTTCAACAAAAAAATCACTCATACAGTGAGAAATGATGCATGAAAGTTTGTGACGTACTCTTAAAAACATAATCAAGAACTGATGAGTCGCATTACATCTAATTAATTAATATAACAGTACTTATCATGTGGTAATATATTTATATAATATAAAAAAGTGATATTGATTATCGAGGAAACTATTCCACGAAACAATGTCATAACAATCATTCGCAAAAATTAATCGTTAGCCATTTAGAGAGATAACCTTTTGATATTATGCTTTATTATCAGTGGCCCGACATGGCCAGGTGGTTAGGGCGCTTGATTCGCAATCTAAGGGTCGCGGATTCGAATC